AGATCAACTTGCACATTTGTGCAATCCATGACTTATTCCTCTTCCCTGATTCTGCTCAGCAATGGTGACAAGAAAATAATTACAAAAACACAAGTGGAAAGTTAGTAAAGTGCTGACCTCCGGAGCAATTCTATTCTGAAAATCCATTTCATGCAGATTTATCGGTCTTGTTTAGGCTCCAACAACAACAGCTTGCATTTATATAGCGCCCCTCACGCAGGGTAGTGTCCCAAAGCACTCCAATGTAGTGCAACCAGTTTAAATTATTGTCCGACATTGTTCCAAATGGATTTTCTGCATTCCCTTTTGCGCAGAAACCATTCGAATCCATGAAAGTCACTTTATTTTCTTTTACATTTCAGCAGGAAAATGAGCGATTAGCAATGATATTCACTCAAAGTGGCTCACAGTTGCTACCAGAAAATTCCATTCCATGCCAACCGCTACTTTTTCTGCCCCATCAATTTTTCCAATTCAAAATGTATCACGGTTTTTGTTGTTTTATCTCTGGTGAGGAGAAATCTGTCCAAAGAGTTAGCCGCTCCTAACACATACAGTAATGATCCATCTGTGACTAGCCCCCTCCTCTTCCTATCATTTATATCAGCTTAATCCAAGTACAATACATTTCTCTTATTATCGGTACAAATTGATACGTATGCTCTCAACTTTTGGTGGGATACAAAGACTTTAATAATAATAATAATCCTTGCATTTGATATAGCGCTTTTCACGTCGGGAGGACATCCCAAAGCGCTTCACAGACCACATTGTAAAGTGAATTGACTGTATATTTGTGGGCGAACGCGGCAGCCAATTGCGCACAGCAATGTCCCACAAACAGTCGTAGATTGAAAATGACCAATTTATTATTGTTTTTGGTTTTGGAGGGATTATTATTAGGCGTGTGGAGTAAGGAAACCTGCCCAAACCCCTTAAGGTTTTACCATAATAACAAATTTATGAGAAATGGAATCAGATATTCCCACATGTACATCAAAATGATTTTTCAATTAACTGGTTGAAATTTACAACCTTTGTAGTCCTAGTACAATAGATTTATCAGAACATTACTTTCTCTTGTGAAGTAGTATTCCCACATCAGTGATGCAACACTGACAATGGCTATAAAGTTGTGTCTTTTATTCTGGATAATAATCAGACACTTCAACAGAATAAAAGGATCTGAGGGAAGAGAGAGTGGCCAATTAATATCAAGGATGTAGTACACTAAAGGATATAATAATTCTTGCATTTGAGGTCAGGAGGATATCTCAAAGTGCTTTACAGACTGTAAAGTGTAATGACTGTATGTTGTAGGCTAAGCCAGTCGGCAATTTGAATACAGCAATGGAACACAAACAGCTCCGAAGTGAAGAACTAATATCATGTGGAGGATTGTTGCCGAGCACTTCAGGACGCTTTTCATTTCAAATTGTGCCATGGGTCCTTTTAACGTCCACCCACCAGGCAGATGGGGCCTTGGTTTTGTATCTCATCTGAAGATGATACCTGCAACTCTCCAGTCATTGTTAACTTGTCACTGGACTAGAAATGAAACCTTGGACAAGTTTCCTTACTCCACACGCCTCTCTTTACCTAGCAGGATGTAGGAACTTGATTGTTAGGCAATTGCCAAATGGCTTTCCGAGTAATAATCCCTCAAAAAAAATAATTTGTTAACTCAATCCATGACTGTTTGTGGGACACTACTGTGCATAATTGGCTTCAGTGATTCGCCAACAAAAATAAACAATCAATCCACTTTAAGATATATTCCCTAAAGCACTTTGAGACATCTTAATGACTGATGAACCACTATATAAAATGCAAGGATTATTATCATTATTTATTTATTAACTTAGACAGAGGGAGTTCAAAATTCTAACTAAAGGAGGTGGAGAGAGAGCTGAACTAGCTGATGCTTAAAGTCCAGTTGTACAGCGATAAAAGAATTCCAATTAAACTTTATGTTTGTGGAGAACACACTGCTTCTCGAATGCCTGCACGTTTCCAGGAATAAGACAACAACAACAACTTGCATTTACATAACGCCCTGCACATAGAATAGTGTCATTGAATGGTGGGGTTTGATGCCAAGCAAGAGAGGGGGGGGGGGGGGAGGAGGGGTGGGTGACCATTGGCGCGATCGAAGGTCTTAAAGTGGGATTTAAAGATAAATAAAGAGGGGCGAGGTGGAAGGAGAGACAAAAACAATAGTTCTTTGAAATACTGAATAAGCTTACGCTATCTCTCTTACCTCTCAAATTTTTTTTTTGGGCCAAACAGCCATTCAATTTCTTTGTAGTGACATTTACCAGAGCACACTCTGTAATGCCCAGGTGTAATAGTTATGTCTTGGGGGCAAACCGAACCCGGAGAAATGATTATTTATCAGAACTTTTGTTTTAAATACATTTGTGTAGTTTTTTTTAAAAAAGTGGAAATAGTAGTAATAGCATGTTAATAATCTAGAATTCAGATTTACCAAAATATAGCAATTGATAGTCTTGCACTGGATACTGAGAAGACAGAGTTGTAGCGAATGCAACTCAGTATCTACTCCAAGGAGTAGGTAAGTAAAAAGATGTGAGGTTTCCACAAACATAAATCAAGTATATTGATAGCTTTGAGGCTGACACAGGGAACACAGAGAAAACGCACACATATTATAAACATTGTCCTCTCTCCTTCACCCCCCCTCCCACCCACCCACCCCTCCAACACAGTGAAACATTTTACTACCAAAAGAAATGACAAGTTTAAGTGGGTAACTGGAAATAATGTAGGAATGTGACAGCCTGATCCTCTGCAAGAGCAAACCTTTCTTTTGATCCTCCTGAAAAAGTTCCAGTTTGTACATCCCAAGTGTCTGGGACCAATACACTAATGATAAATCATTTACTGGTCACCACTAGTTTGCATTATTTATGCTTGTATTTGAAATAATGTAACATACTGTATTACTACCCCATTGTACGTTTCGCCCAGAAAATACAGTCAACTCACTTTACAAGATATTATGTGAAGTGCTTTGAGACATCTCAACGACTTGATAAGGTGCTACATCAAATGCAAGGATTATTATTGTAGTGTTATTGCCAGCATGTGTTCACTGTGTGCAGAAAAGGAGGTTCCACAAGGTAAAGGTTTTATCCAGTTTAGCCTTAGCCGGGTTATATTAAACCCCCAGCCCCCACCACCTCATCCTCCCGTCTTGTATCAGAGCTGAGATATGTGGGTCTGTGTGATCTCATCAATGTGATTTATATTGAAGGGCAGCAGCAAGGATGCACTGTGAACGCTGACTGGAAACCAAACCAGGGCACAAGACACACCTGCCCGCCCTCACGGCCCCCAGCACAGCACAACACAGCACCAGCACTTGCACCTGCAAGTTTATGCTCTCGATTTCAAAGAATCCGTGAAATTTTTGTGACCCCCACGGGGCGTGAGGTTGTTTCCCAAATTCAGAAAGAACTCGCGCTTTGAAAGCACCCGATTTAACCCACGATTTACGCGCAATTTCCAACAAGCTGGGGGCGCAGTGGGTTTTCCCAAAGTCAGGCAGATAATAATAATAATAATAATCCTTGCATTTGATATAGCACTTTTCACGTCAGGAGGACCTCCCAAAGCGCTTCGCAGAATACACTGTAAAGTGAATTGACTGTATATTTGTGGGCGGACGCAGCAGCCAATTGCTCACAGCAATGTCCCACAAACAGTCGTAGATTGAAAATGACCAATTTATTATTGTTTTTGGTTTTGGAGGGATTATTATGAGGCGTGTGGAGTAAGGAAACTTGCCCAAGGTTTCTCCCTGACTGGAATTGAACTCAGGTCTCTCGCTTGCAAAGCGAGTGCTCTAACCACTGAGCTACAGGACTCCACATCCGAGGGGAATAGGTTACCCTAACCCTCAGCACAGGGTTATCCCGATTTGACCGTGACTCAACCCTGCAAATCAACCGTTTAAAAACCTGCCCTGAAACGCATTATTTTTTTTAACCAAAAAAAAGAGAAAATCAGACCAATGTTAATAAATAACGCTTCTCCGCATTTGCACGGTATCAGCCTCAGCCCCTAATGTCCAGAAAGCTGCCCAGTCCCCACCTGCTCTCCTGCTCCCACTGGAGCTGCCTTGAATCTTCCCAAAAAATTCACACACTCACCTGTTGCCTCTCCTGGAAACTCCAGGCGTTCCCGAGATCCTCGCAAATGGCTGCCGCGTTCGCCCACAAATATACAGTCAATTCACTTTACAGTGTGTGTTCTGTGAAACGCTTTGGGACGTCCTTCCGACGTGAAAAGTGCTATATCAAATGCAAGGATTATTATTATTATTATTATCTGCCTGACTTTGGGAAGACCCACTGCGCCCCCGGCTTGTTGGAGATTTACACAGACACTTTACACAGACACAGACGCTTTACACAGACACAGACGTTTTATACAGACACAGACACTTTACACAGACACAGATGCTTTATACAGACACAGACACTTTACACAGACACAGATGCTTTACACAGACACTTTACACAGACACTTTACACGGACACAGACTCTTAACACAGACGCTTTACACAGACATTTTACACAGACACTTTACACGGACACAGACTCTTAACACAGACGCTTTACACAGACATTTTACACAGACACTTTACACGGACACAGACTCTTAACACAGACGCTTTACACAGACATTTTACACAGACACTTTACACAGACACAGACACTCTACACAGACACAGACACTCTACACAGACACTTTACACAGACACAGACACTCTACACAGACACTTTACACAGACACAGACACTCTACACAGACACTCTACACAGACACAGACACTCTACACAGACACAGACGGTGTGGTGTGTGGCTGCTGCATGTCCTGCCCGTCTGTACACCGGGAACACTCGCCTTCATCCGCTCAACCACAACAGGGGCTGTTTTTTCTGAACTGGACACCGACATTAGACGGTACTTACCTGTGTGTCGAACCTGTTAACTCGAACGCAATTGCAACTGTTTCTGGGGGGGAATTGGCTGTTAAAAACGTATCCTTTCCCTCTCCTCTCTCTCTCTCTCTCCTCTCTCTTTACTCCTCGGAAGAAACCAATGCACTGCAACAGTGAGTCTTTCTGCCTTTAAAGTCCGTCTTTACTTTTACGAAGAGTGGCAATTGCACACTGGAGCCTCATCCACTGCCCTCTGTGTGTGTGTGTGTCTGTCTCACACTCTCACTCACTCACTCACTCACTCACACACTCTCACTCACTCACTCACTCACACACTCTCACTCACTCACTCACACACTCTCACTCACTCACACACTCACACTCACTCACTCACACACTCTCACTCACTCACTCACACACTCACTCACACTCTCACACTCTCACTCACTCACACACTCTCACTCACTCACACACACTCACTCACTCACTCACTCACACACTCTCACTCACTCACTCACACACTCACTCACACTCTCACACTCTCACTCACTCACACACTCTCACTCACTCACACACACTCACTCACTCACTCACTCACACTCTCACTCACTCACACACTCACTCACACACTGAACTGAGAGCACATCTGAGCCCACTCGGCTTTGCTGTCTCCTCTGACGCAAAACAGCATCGATGATAAGAATAAATAACAGGTTATATGTGTTGGAGAGACACAGACACACACACACACTCACACACACACACACAGACACACACACAGACACTCACACAGACACTCACACACACACAGACACTCACACAGACACACACACACACACACAGACACTCACACAGACACTCACACAGACACACACAGACACACAGACACACACACACAGACACACACACTCACACAGACACACACAGACACACACACACACACACAGACACACACACACACACAGACACACACACAGACACACACACACAGACACACACACTCACACAGACACACTCACACACACACACACACACAGACACACACACACACACACACACACACAGACACACACACACACACACAACACACACACAGACACACACACACACAGACACACACACACACACAGACACACACTCACACACACACACACACACAGACGAAGGTTAAATCCTGACTTACTCGCAGTGATGGATGCAGCAAAGTAGTGATCAGCGAAGACGAATGAAGCAATACATGAATGATGGCTCTGTGCTCAGGATGTATAGCTGCTCTCTTTGAGTGCTCTCTCCGGGACCGATCCAGTCGTGTTTTGTTTTCTTTTTCCGTGGATTCACATCCTACTTTCATGCAAAAGCAAAGTGGAATCAGCTCAGACCAGTGCAGGCGAACAGAAAGCTCTCCCTCCCTCCCCCCCTCCCTCCCCACAAGAGCCAGGATTCAGCAACTCATGCACCATCACATACCAACAAGTTGAAGTCAGGAAGAAGTTGCAATTGGACTTTGTGATGGAGATCATCGAATGCAAATGGATCCAAAGCCAAAGCCAAAGCCAGAGAGGACACCTCAGCCCCAGTGGTTTGGGTGAATGAGCAGAGTACAGTCATGGCAACGTGAGACATAGACATGTAAAGGGGAATCAATTCAGCTCAACATCTTATTATTAAACCTTCTGTTCTGCCGAATAAAATCCAGGGTGTGTTTTTATTATTATTATTATTATTATTATTATTATTATTATTATTATTATAACACATGACACTTTTCATTGCGACTTGCACGATTAGCATTGATTGCCTCCTTGACCTTATGTTCTTATATCTGTACAGCACTACATCAACACACAGTAACACATCAATCCTTCAGCACTGGGCAAAATCCCACTCAGCCTGGCTTTTCATTAAATCTTTAGCTCTGCTCAATATAACCCGCTTTATTATTTTAAATATAGAAACATATTTCTGTTCTATTGTGCATTGCTCTTTTTGTTTTTTTTTAAAAGAAGCAAACAAGCATTTCACAGGCGTCTTGAGTCACCAGATGAAAACGTGTAGAGGCAGAACTATTTGGGACTTTTTTAAAAAATCTGATACTATGGATTGAAATGTGTTATGTGTGGTGTCTTAACGTTGAGACCAATGTTGCTAACTAACATTTGTGTTGAATAAAGTGACCTGATGATAATTGACTGGTCCCTGAGAGTGTTGGATTCTCTCTCTCTCTCTCTCTCTCTCTCTCTCACACACAGCCATTAGCTGCAGAATTAATTTATGTCTCCAGATTCACCTTCCAGATAGCAACTTCACTGAACAAAAGTAAAACTGCAATCTGTTCCCCAACAGACCAGTGCCGCAGTTCATAAACTACAAATCTAATATGTGGTGTGGTCTGCTTCTGGATTAAATTCTAAATGACTTCCTTGACCTTCCTTTCGTTCCTATGTCTAATGCAAACACACCAATCCTTCGGTACTGTTCAGTGCTAACACAGAAACTTGCCAATCCTTCAGCACTGGACAGCACGAACATGGTAACACATCAATCCTCAGCACTGGACAGGACTAACACATTAACACAACTCTCAGGACATCATTAACCCACAACACGCAAATCTTTCAAGACTGAGATAACACAAACACAGTAACACATCAAATCTTCAACACTGGACAATAATAACGCAATAAGTCCTTCAGTACTGGACAACACTAATGCAATAACACACCAACCATTCAGTACTGGACAGTACTAACACCATAACAAAACCCTCAATGCAGACAATCAAAGTAGATACCAAGCCTTGACTATATGAAAGTATGCTCACAAACCCCAACTAAAAGTAGGATCACCTACTTTTGCAGCAGCTGTTGTCCCAAGCGTTAAGAGTATTCAGATCAGCTATTTGATGGATATCTGCTTTCAGAATGGTGGAAAGATGTACACAGAGCAGTTGGTGATATGCCAGTCTCCTTGAGTTCTGGAGGTTCAAGTCCAAGCTTACCAGCTTTACTGAACAGCAACTGCTTGATAACTTCTTGGCTCAGTTTGTAGCAGTCTTGCCTCTGATTTATAGGTTTTGTGAGTTCCAGTCCATTGTCAAGAGTTTGAGCTCATAGTTTAGGCTGACATTTTAATATAGTGTTGGGAGACACTACAATGTTGGAGTTGCCGTCCTTTGGATGAGACGTTAAACCAAGGCCTGTTTGCCAATTCAAGATGTTAAAGATCCCATGGCACTATTCAAAAGGAAAAGGAAGTTTCCCTCTGGTGCCCTGACCAACATTCTCTAAGATTAAATTTGTCATGGCTGTTTGTGGGATATTAATATGCATAAGTTGGCTGCCATATTTGCCTATACAATGCACCGTCAATACACTTTACAGTAAATCCCATGAAATACTTTGAGACTTCCTCCCATGTTTATATTTATGTGCGAAGCCTTCATAGAGACTTGTTTACCATGAAACTAACTCCACCTCCAGGCTGCCGAATGATGTCAGCATAAGCTAGAGTCCTCCCCTCCCTTCCTCCAGCCTCTTCTCCGATTTACCACAAACCTATCTCCCCTCTTGAGTATCTTGCTATCATTGAAGAGAGATGAGAAAGACCAGAGAACTCTTCATCCCTACTAAACACAATTCTGAAGGGCAGAGTTAAGTAAACTTTGGTGTCCATCATGAGCTCCAGATACTGATACAAATGAACAATTAGTACTGATGTCCCCTATACCATTGAATCAATACCCTCAAGGTCCCATTGTGAGCCACGCAGAGACATAATCACACATTTGGGAAGTGGTCAGGATTGTGAGTGCAGTGTAAGAGACCGTCAGGTAGGTCTGCCAATAGCAGAATATCATCTGCAATGTTATCAGAAATACTGGACAGCACAAACATTGTACATAATAACAATATAGATGTATTCAGTCAGACTCAGTGCAACGCCTTAGTCCTCGCTGCCAGACTAATTCTTCACTTACAGAACACACGCTCTGTTGATACTTGCACTATGCAGCACCAAATGTATTCAGATTCTACCTAGCTCAACACAGTTCTGCAAACATGAACAACACGATCCTTTAGCATTGGACAGCACTGGTAATTTTTCATAGAATAATAATGGTAGCTAATAATAATAATAATCCTTGCATATATACGGTCAATTCACTTTACAGCATATTCTGTGAAGCGTTTTGAGATGTCTAGAAGACGTGAAAAGCGTTATATCAAATGCAAGGATTATTATTATTATTTGATATAATAATAATAATAATCCTTGCATTTGATATAGCGCTTTTCACGTCGGGAGGACGTCCCAAAGCGCTTCACAGAACACACTGTAAAGTGAATTGACTGTATATTTGTGGGCAAAACACAGCAGCCAATTGTACACAGCAGTGTCCCACAAAGTCGTGGATTGAAAATGACCAATTTATTATTGTTTTTGTTTTTTGGAGGGATTATTATTAGGCGTGTGGAGTAAGGTAGTGGTTAGTAGAGTTGCCTTATCATTCTCTTCCTTATGTAAGGTATAAATTTGATTTAAAACAGTTTCCAGCGATACCATGGGAAAATTATGCAACCCAAAATGTGAGTGATTGGGTGTGTTTGGAGGGTTCTGTTAAGGGAGCGGAATTCTTGGCTAATTTAATGAAACCGTTTCTATACAAATGTAATTTTGTTGTTGTTGTTGTAATACCAGGTATTAAGCTGACAGCAAAGCCAGTTGTTTATTTCCTCAGAGTTTATTTGGGCCTGTCAGTGAGCCCATGCTGGAACAAGACATGATACTGACTAACTCTTGCAAGGCATTCACCAATTTCATTTTGCGATTAAGGTCAGTTGACAATAACTCTATAACAAGCATTGACAGCAGAGAATGTTGCCATGTATGATACCACTGCATCCCATTGGAAGAAAGGGATAAGCTTTTCTAAAGTGAGAAAGAAAGTAAGAAAGAAGGAAGGAGCAATAATGAACGAAAGAACGAAAGAACGAAAGAACAAAAGAAAGAAAGAAAGAAAGAAAGAAAGAAAGAAAGAAAGAAAGAAAGAAAGAAAGAAAGAAAGAAAGAGAAAGAAAGAGAGAAAGAAAGAACGAAAGAAAGAAAGAAAGAAAGAAGGAAAGAAAGAAAAAAGAAAGAAAGAAAAAGAAAAGAAAAGAAAGAAAGAAAAAAGAAAGAAAGAAAGAAAGAAAGAAAGAAAGAAAGAAAGAAAGAAAGAAAGAAAGAAAGAAAGAAAGAAAGAAAGAAAGAAAGAAAGAAAGAAAGAAAGAAA